GATGGCTGTCCATAGTTCATTTGGAGTAGTCAAATTCATTATTTCCAGGTATCAGGAAATTGTGCGGATGTGGGTTCAGTTAAAAAATTCTGCCATTTTGGCCAGCTGAATTGGGTCAGATCAGTACAACTCGGAGTAATACTGTTGCATTTCAATTGCCACTTCAGCTGGCGTATCTGTGATGGAATCATCCGATCTTTGCACCTGTGTGCAGGCCACGCTCTGGCATGGTGCAAAATTTTTTAAAAAAAATATGCGGTGCACTTGTCACCCTCTGTAATGCATTTGGCCCTGTACTGAACACAAACCTGATGTTTGTGTTGCCTTTTGAGCGCGTTGAGGTGGGCAGCTGCTTCCAACCACTTCTGGCCCTATGCAGGGCTGTAGCCTGTAGCTGGGATATTGGACTCCAGGTGTGCCAACTCTGCCAGAGCGCGCGAAATGATGGCCGATGTGGCCCATGAGTTCTGGGAGGAGAGGTGGCGGGAGTGGTGGATGGTATCCTCTTTGAAGGTTGACCATGTGGAGATGGGGTCCGCAAAAACAGTGTAACAAACTCTTTTGCCAAAGTTGCTGATTCCACCCAAGTGGAAAATCTTGGTGACGCAAGTTCAGGAGGGCGGAGCTTGCACCAATGTGGGGCCTTAGCCACTGTGACAGGTAGGTGGTAGGTTATCAAGACCAGTCGGTGGTCAGAGAATTCAATTTTTGTTGTTTTGAAGTGGGAAATGTGGGGTTGGAATTTCTCCAGTGTAAGGATAAGGTCAATGCGGGTCATGGACCTTAATTGGCCATTGTGGATGTGGGGGCACATCATGTTTTCGAGCAGTGGGGCTTGCTGCAGCAGTGCATCCATTAACCCAAGGGTGGCCTTTAGAACGCGAAGTTCTACGTGACCCTGGGGGGCATGGGAGGAGGAAGGCCAACGATCTGTGGGTGTGTTTAGCCAACAGTTCATGTCGCCAACTATGAAAGGGTCTGGGGGTAATGGGAGGGATTTGACCAATGAGAAAAATTCCTGACGCTCTCGTGCACAGATTGAGGCATAGATGTTGATGATAGCATGCACCATGTCAGCCCACAAGAAAGTGACAATGAGGACTCAGCCATTGAGAAAGGATTCTGACAATAAAAATTTGAAAAAATTGTTTTTGAACTAGCACCCCACAGTGCTCTGACCAAAAGGATAGGGATGGGAGGAGCATAATTTTCCAAGCATCCTTAGACCCTCATGGACAGTGGGACTCCTGGATGGCCAGGATATCCACGGGTAAATTTTTATAAAAAACTCAGTTTCCTAGCCCAGGACGGTGAGGCCTTGAGTCCAGTGATATTCAACATCCCTAAAGTGAAGTTTTCCCCCATCGCACCTTAGGTGCGAGGGGTGGGCACCTGGGCCCACTAGCCTCCTCTAGATCCCATGGGCATTCACGGCAGCACAGGTGTTTGCAGCAATGCTATTGGTAGTTTTGTTAATTTTAGCAGAAAGGTTCGCGTAGGCTTTTGCCTTTGCTATTTGTTTCCCCAACGTCAAAAAAATTTTTTGTGGTGCAGATGAGTTTGGTGCACCAAAGATTGGGTCAAATAAATTTTTTCAGGTAGGTTGGACCCCAAGTCAGTTTCAACCAGAGCTTGGTTGCAAAGATCGGGTAAGATTGAGTCACCCATCAGATCCTCAGATTGGGTGGCCTAATTGGCATGGGCTTCCCAATCTGATTGGTTGAGGGATTCCTGAGTTGCTTCCACCGTGAAGATTTTGATGTCCTCCTGGTGTTGGGAGTGTGGGATAGTGGTGGTGACTTTGGCCGCTTCCTTAGCCGTGGCCCTGCGGGCCTGCTTAACCTTCTTCCGCTCTTGTGGGGAAATAGTTTTACCAGTAGGTAGCAGCCTTGTGCTCCCCACGGGAAAGCCTCTTTGGTGCTTGCAGTTGGTTTGTAGTGCGCCTCTCCACTGGCCATGGCCGCTGAGGGGTGCTTTTGGAATGTGATGCCCTCCTTGGTGGGGCATGCATGTGCCTTACGGATGAACATGTCATAGTGGGTGCAGATGGGGGGGCGCTGTCCACAGTTGCCCGAAAAGGGTGGGTGGTATGCCCTTCAATATTGATATATGTGGAGTGCAGGATCTAGGTTAGGTCCTTTGCGATCTCCTCAGTTGGGGTCAGAACTGTGATGGCTTTGCCGGTGCACAGGTGTGGCATCAGCATAAAGCGTTGCATTTCAAAAGATTGTATTTCGCCATATTCAGTGAGACCATCTTTCAGGTGCTGCCCCAAAATGGCACATTTTACTGTAGTAGGCAAAAAGTCAAACGTGAAGAAAATTTGGTTGGATTTTGTCCATCTGGTGCGTTTGATTTCAATGACTCATTGCCCTTCAGGGAGGTTGATCACTACGCGCACTGCAGCAGCTTCGTCTGCTGCCTCCTTGTTTTTGAAACTGAGGTCCAGCCAACCGCGTGACATGGAGTGAGGTGCAACATACACCGCGGTTGGGAAAAAATTGTGCACATCCCCACAAAACTTTTCCTATAGAGCTGTTTGTTGGATGTCCAGAAACACACAGACTCCATATTCCACTGACGAGAGTGGTTGGGAGTGCGGCGTGTTGATATACTGGTTGCATCGCGCTTGCCAAGCAAGGATTTCTGGGGAAATAATGACCGCCAGTTTTTTATCTTTTTTCTATTCCACCAGTTTCTCCAGGGCGTTTTTGAACGTTTGAGGCCACGGCCTACCACCTGCTCCTCTTATCTTACTTGCCCAACTGCTCCCTGACATGGGCGCAGACTAATCTCCTCTGTGAGATTATCAAACTAGAATCAGACTTGAATTGAATAAGTTGCAAAAGTGATTGCAATGAGAGAGAAAAGTTAACAACTTCCTTAGTAATAAGAAGGCAGAAAACTATATGCTTCTGGTTCAAAGCAAACTAAAGGCATTTTTGCAAATTTGAATGCAATATGAGTATTAAGATGCACTTCCTAAATTGAAATCTTGATCAATTTCTAAAAACCTTAGGTGTTAGCAATGAGCAGGGAGAATGCTTCCATCATGACTGTAGACAATGGAAGAGCGTCTGTCATTTTTAAATGACTTAATAGAAGGCACCAACCCTAAGGACAAGGATGGGTGGCAGTAGGTCCAGAAGGTTAAACTTCAGTCCCTTCCTGACCTCAAGCACACCTTGGACCAACGCTGGGTACATTCCAAATATTCCCAGGTTGGTACAAGTGAGGTGCCAAGCGCCCAACCCCTTGTTTCAGCTTAGGCATTAAAATGGATGAGCTATATAATGAATGACAATGGTATAATACGGTTAAGTGGGAAACAGGGTTTTGAAACCCATTTCATTTATGAAATTATGAGCTCTGGTCATGTAAAACTTCAATCAATCACTCAAGTGAGGTCCGTTTTGAAGTTTGCTACCCTTTCAGATGAAAGCATGCACCTATTGGTGCACCAAGGCTTGGGACCACATTGCCAACCCAGAATTTCCCTGACTTTGTTTAATTAGGTTTGCTCAAGCCCAAGGTTTCTCATTGGTCATCTTCCCAATAAATACCCTTGTCATTTTACGTTTTTATACATTGACTTGGGTGCACCTGTGTGCAGACCTCTTTGAGGAGGTCTTGTGACGTATGAGCCAATTTATTCTTTTAAATTTATTATATCTTCTGGTACACCACTGGGCCTACCCAGTTCCCTCCAAACCTGGTCGCCAGTGCACCATACCCCTGTACCAAACTTGGTTTTGAACAGCCCTCTGAGACACAGCCAAGTTTTGAAGAATTCCCAACTTATTATCACAATTGCTGTGCTTAACACCCTCTCCATGAGTCTCTTCAGCTCCAGCACCCTCTGCTGGGCTATTTTGATTATTATAATGATGACTACTAGTTCCCTTATGTTGTTCCTGTGCATCAAGCACCACCACGCTGGGTTTTGGAGAGTTATAGACACTCTATTGACTGTGGTATCAAGGTCAATGGGACACATATAGATGATAGACTACTTCTGGAGCATCAAATGAGACCATCCTGAGAAAGTCCATAAATGTAAGAGCTACATGCACAAATTATTGCCTGAATAAGCCTTACATACCCTCTATATCACATTGCTGCATTAATTAATTAATATTTTGTATCTGTATGTACATATCAATACTATAGTTGAGCAAATTATACTTTTATCTTATAATATTTTAATTCATATTTATGCTTAAGAAAGTGATTTTATTTCTTCACATTTCTTACCTGCATACATAATTATATACCTTTATGCATTTTTTTGTATTTAAATGTCTTATATTAATGCCGTGATTTGATTAAGATAATATTTCATATTTGTAGGTTGAGATAAATGCTGAAAATTCAAAGTTTTATATGAATGTGAAAATTGTTAAAAATGAATTGTAAAAAACTATAGCTTATAGAGTAAACTACTTCAGATCTAAAATCAAATCACCCAAAATATTTAAGAACAAGTGTTTTATCAAAGCAACAAAAGATTTGTATCCTTGTGTTATTATTTATTTGAGGCAAAGTGACCAGGGGATGGACATTACCAAAATGAAAGTAATATGCTTCAAATCATGAACAGGATTAACCCTATTAAAGTTTTTGTCTAACTATGGATTAGGACTATGATTTTTCTGATTACATCAAGGATAAGATGTTCATGTTATTTGACCTACTAACTACCAGCAGGTAAGTTACATTATTAAATTAATTTAAATTGATGTAAAGGCAAAAAATAAGGCTCAGACTAAAAATATTGTTTAGATATACCTTGAGCTATAAATTTTAATGTCTTAAGACTAAATTTATTTAAATATTGCAAAGAAAAAAGATATATTGTGAAAAAGTCATTTTAAAATGTATTGGTGCATTGCTCAAGAAAACACAATATGGCTAGATAATATAAGAATTTGCAAACCTTTTTTTTAGTACTAGATGGAAGAATTTGCAAACCTTAGTACTTGATAATTTGAAAAAGCAATTGCTCACTACAGGGGTCGAACATGTGACTTTGTCGTTATTAGCACCACACTATAACCAACTGAGTTAATTTTTTAAAAACGTATACTTTTTTTTTAAATAAAAATTAAAGGGAAAGTAAGAGGGGAGGGCGGAATACAAGCAATACAGCCAAGAGTTAAAAGGACCAGGGGTTTTTCTGCTAGAGTTCCAGCACCTCTGACCATTGCTGATCAGCAATTGCCATCACTAGCCACAGTTCTAGCATTGGTAGGATTACAGGCCATTCAATTCTCAGTCAATTAGTTGCCTCATCATGTGCAATGAGCGATCCAGCGGGGAAAGCCAAACGTGTGGCCTTATAACACCTGGGGATTATGCACAAAAATTTTGAGATCTGATGGAGCTGATCAGAAATAATCCAAATGGTCTTCAATACCAAACCTCTATGGTGGGGGCGCTCATTGCTCAAAACCTTGGTGACAAGCGCACAGTGAATTACCCTTACACAATAATGGTAAATGAAGGCTCATAGTTGGATTGGAGCCATTCTCAGAGTTTTTGTAAAGAAAAGGTTCTGCAATGGATGTATTCCTGGTGGCGAATGTTCACCTGATAGGATGTAACGCATCATGGACCAGTGTTTTTTGAACATGGCACATTCATAGTAACGGTGTGCTATGTCTGCTTCTGGTTCAGTGCATATGGGGCATTATTTGTGCTGGTAGTCTGTCCTGCTGTGCTTTCCCAATTTATATTCCTGATTTAGGATCCGCCAGGTTACCAAACGCTGTTTGGACATTACCAAGTGGGAGTTCAGGCCTGAAATCAACTCCTTTGTCAGGTAGTTGGTGTCATGGCCTTTGGTAGTCCAGACATTTAGGATTTGTGGATGGGTGGGCGGATTGCACCCCAGTTTTAGGAGTGGTTCCCCATATTATATCAGCATCAATTTGTACCTTATTCTGATTGACTTGGTTGCATATTCATCAGCATTTTGGTTACACTCCTCCCAGCTTGTTGCAGAAATCATTGTGGAATTATGTGCTTCGACATCCCTTTAAATTTGGTCAGCCTCTCAGTCCAATCGCTCAAATGACCATCCACCCTGGCGCATGGCCCAATTGCATAGTTGCCAGTAGTAGTGTGGGGCACCTTTTCAGGTGGTTATCCGCGGGTGGTTCGCCATCCATTCACATATTGATTGGGGGAGACCAGCTCTTGGAGGCCTTGGGCTCTTGCCCAGTTCACGACCCATGCTAGGGTTGGGCAGCGCATGTGCATCTGTGTTAGCTTCAGAAATGACTTCCCCTATATACACCAGGCGTGAGATTTAAAGTCCAGGAGGCCCATGCCTCCTTCATTCTTTGGTTTTGACAGGGCTTCAGGTGGTATCAGTGGTGCCTTCGCCTTGAACCACAGGAAAGTTCAGAGCATTGACCTGATTTTCTTCTCTAAGTTCAGGCTCATTGGCAGCATGTGAGCAACATACCACAACTTTGAGAAGATGAAGACGTTTATTGCCTGCACTTTCTCCTTGAGGCATAGTCTGGTGCTTTTCCAGCATGCCATTCAGATCAATAAGCTTGACAATAGTTCCTGTTTGGTCTCCAGTACTGCTGGTCCCTTGTCGTTGAAGAGCATCCTGAGGTATCAGACTGTCTGGGAGTTCATAATCAGCGTTGTGTCAGTTAGTAGGCTGAAGCTCGGGTTGCCAACCATCATCACTGAGGTTTTTGCCAAGTTCATTTTTGCGTTCAATGCTAGCTGATAGAGGTTTAATAGTTCCTCGGCGCCCTGGAGGTCAGTCAAGGAGCTTATTCCTACTACTGTATCATCATCAAATGCTAGAATCTTCAGTGGCATTTGGTTAGGGTGGACTAAACCCTAGAGCTTCACATCTGCTGCTGCCAGTAGAACGTTGGCTGCAAAGTTGAAGAGTATTGGTGACATAGGGTCACTTTGGCAGAGACCTTGCTCAACAGGGATTTCGTTGGTTATTCCATCTGCAACAATAACCTTCATTACCAGGCCTGAGTACAGCGTCATTATTCATGCTTAAAACGTGTCAGGGATACTGACTGCCTTTAGTGCCTCATGAAGGAATGACCACGCTACTCAGTCATATGCCTTTTTTATGTTAAGGAACATAAGGTACCCCTGTTCAATGCCCCTTATATCCTGTATTATGCTCTGGACAGAGCCATTGCTGTCCCATATACTACGGCCTTTGACAAAGCTGTGCTGGGCACTATGGAGCATGTGCGGTGCTGTTGCCATCAGTTGATTAGATAGTATGCGCGTGAGCAGTTTATAATTGGAATAAAATGGTGCAATTGGGCGCCAGTTCCAAAGTTGGTGTCTGAGGCCTTTTTTGTACAGAAGTACAATTTGGGTCTCATGGCCTCCCAGAATTTGCTTGCCATTGTGCAAACAGTGGTTAAAGAGGGCTTTGAGCTCCGTCGCAATGCGGTCTTGGAATATGCTGTATATTTCTGCATACATATTGTCAGGGCCTGGTGCTTTCATTCTTGGTGACTCCTTTAGCGCCCTCTTAACTTCATTGATAGAGATTTTGGCGGATATCTTGGTGACATCTTCCAGCGTACAGCCCCCAGTGCTGGCTTGGCCAGGTTAATAAGGGTTTTTATCACCGATTTGCTTGTTTCTCTTTGTCAGAAGAGATCTCCATAAAAAAACTTGACCTCACGCTTGATCATTTTTGGGTCTGTTGATACTTCCCCTTCCGCTGTCTCCACTTCCCGTACCCTATCCTTAGTTCAGATTTCCTTGAGGTGTTTCAGGCCCTCTTTGGTCATTGTCCCCACTAGGCTCTGATATCAGTAAGTTGCATTGGTCCATCTCTCTGAGTCTTTCTTCATCATAATGGCCTGATACTTTTTGTATGTTGTTTGATACTCGCTCCACCAGTCTTCGCTGTCCCAGCGGGTGAGCCTCAGCCTTTCTAATTTAGACTTCAGTTGTTTCATGGTGGCAGTTTGCTTGTAGAAGGTCGCTTTTTTGAACTTCATACTATTGTGTTTCATTTTTGCTTTGATCTGGGTCCATCATTCTAGTGGGTCCAACTCCAGGTGTTTGTCCAGATACGCTACCAGTTGATCCAGTCCAGCGTCAACCTTTCAGCGCCAATCCCCATCCCTCAGCGTAGCTGGTGATAGTTGCCACTCGTGGTTCCTTAGAGGTTCATCAAGGTCAATCTCCACCCATATGACCATGTGTTCACTTTTATATTTATGCTAACCTCGCTGTTGGACGTCATTGGCCTGAGATCTGATGACACTAGGATGTAATCTAAACATTATAATGACAGTGGGGATTCAGTGGCGTCATATGACCACCACGTTAGATTAGCTGGGTCATCGTCCTCTTTGTCAATTGTTAGGCACATCCCCAAAATGATTAGGTAATTGAGCATCTCGTCAGCTTTACTGTTGGGACATTCTCTCATCAAGTATGTATCCTGGATCACATTTGTCCTACAGTTCAGGTCACCTGCTATTATGGTCGTCGCTTCAGATGGCGCTTCCACTAGAATTCCCAAAAAATATGGTTTTTGTGGAGCTTCGATGAGGTGTAGACTGCTACCACCTGTATGCTCCTGCCAGTTTCTCTGTTTGTAGCTGTCGCTATCAAGATTTTACCTGCATGAGTTTCTTCCACAAATTCCAGGTCTATTTTCTTGTCCATTGCGACTATTGCCATGTGGTTCATCCATAGGGCTTGGTAGCCTATCTGGCGGGACCATGTGTGGTTTTTCACATAATGGTTTGAGCTTGGCACCATTTCCTTTTGGTTACCGGCTTGTGTTTTGAAATAAAAATTAGGTCAATATTGTTATTAGTTTTAAATGGTGTATTTTCCTCCTCCTCATTTGTATGCTCGCCATCCCCAAGAATTTGTGGTCGCTATCCTCATTTCCAGCTGCCTGACACACAGGTATGAGGTTTAGCATTGTCTGAATTGTGGATCGAGTCCCATACTGAGGTCTGGTTGGTCAATGATGGTGGTGTTGATGGTTGGCGGGGTGCAATATTTGGTTTTCAGGGTCAGTTGGTTGGGACTGGGATTATATTCCTGGGCATCCTGTATACTGGGAATTCAGTTGCCATCCCCATCTCCCTGTCAATGGTTAGTGGGGATGGTTTTATGATCAGGTCTGGGTGCCCCTTGTTCCCTGCTGGCGGACTGGCAGATTCTCCCTCATCCATTGGTTGGATTTGCACCCCTTCATTTGATTTAGTGGCTGAACTCAATTTTTTTGTCAGTGATTGCCCAGCCAATTTTGTCAATTTCGTCGCTCTTGCTGATTTTTCAACGGTCGCCTCAGGTTTATTTGCCAATGACTTCTGATTCAATTTTGTATTCCCTTTCTTCTTGTTGGGCATCATTTTGGACTTGCTCACATCCTGCATCCACCCTTGCTTGGGAGACTTTTTTGGGTTTGCCTTCTACCATCTTTCCTCCTCCAGGACCATCCATTCCGCTTGGGTTGGATGTTTCTCTGTTGGTCTGGGGTCAGTTCCCTCATCCATTGCATAAGATTCAGGGTTCAGATTTATAAACAGTTCATCATCCACTTTGGGTCACTTTGCCGTTTCCCATTCTCACGCTTCTCTATGTGCCAGGTCCATTTCTTGTTGCTGGCATTTCATATCCGCTACCTCCATTAAGTTGTGTAGGATCTATTCTCTGGCTTTTGGGCGGAGGAAAGTCTTGGTACCCACCTTGGTGATTCCCCTGACAGGGTTGTATACATATTCCCATATAGTTTTACTTTACAATGGTGGCATTAAGCCATTGTGTGGCCGGTCTGGTAGCAGAACTGGCACACTTGTTTGGCATCCTCCTGTTGAACATATACTACCCTACCGAGACTGGGCAGGCGGATGAATCTGGGAAGAGCAATTTAGTTTGGTTTCATCCAGGGTGCCAGTTTGTACAGCGCTTCCACTGTCCAAGGGCGGAGGCACTTTGCAATGTAATTGCCACCGGCTTTTCAGAATTCTCATACTTCCCCATAGTATGACACTCTGGTCTGGATCACTTCGTGCACCCACTCCCATTTGCGATTGGTGGGGAGAC